GGGGGGGGGGGATGGATGGAATGTTAACAGCGATCGAGGGGGAGCGACCAATCCGGGGCCAGGCGCGGGAGGGGCGGGGCCAGGCACGCAAATGAGGCCCGGGGAGTGGACCAATGGGAGAGGGGAGAAGCCAGGTGTGGGAGGGGGCGCTGATTTATGAGGCGTTCTTTGTTACTGCAGCACTGCTGGGGGGAGGGGCCAGGGGGGAGCTCCCCGCACCTGGGAACCCCCCCGCAGCCCCTCCCCCCCATCGCCAGCCCCAGCGTCACAGGGGCTGGGGGGGGACCCTCATTGTCCCCTCCACCCTCCCCCCCCAGTCCCTCAAGGAGGAGCCCCCCCCCACTGCAGTACACCGCCCCCTAGCGCCCCCCCCGGGGCATGGGGGCCAGCCCTGACTGCCAGGGGAGAGCCCGCCCCCCCGCGCCCAGGGGCTGACTGCCAGGGGAGCATATTGACTGTTCTGCTCTAGCTCTGCCTACATGGGGTCGGGGGGGGGGGGCGATGCTAATTACCTGGGGTTTAATTGCGCCTCCTCAGCCCGCTCACGAGGCGCCAGGAGGCCAGGGGGATGGGCGGGGGATCCTCAAGAGGGGCAACTGCCACACACTGTTGAGGGACGAATGTTTCCCAGGAGGATGCGGGCTGGAAGATTTCAGCTGTCCTGTTTACTAGCGGTATTACGGTAGCCCAAGGGGATTGGGGCCCGTGGTCCCACTGGGCCAGGGACAGCCCCTGCCCCAGCTGAGATCGGAGCCCCTCTGCTCAGACACAGCCAGAGCCAGCCCCCAAATAGCAACACGCAGGAGTATGCTCCCTGCTTCATGGGTGGGGAAACTGAGGCACAGAGTGATGCTGTGATCTGCCAAGGTCACACAAGAAGTCTGTAGAAGAGACAGCAGTAGAACCCAGGCGTCCTGGCTCCTAGACCCCCCTCCCCTCCCAGGGTCAGGGATAGAACCCAGGCGTCCTGGCTCCTAGACCCCACTCCTTTCCTCTCCCCTCCTGGGGCTGGGATAGAATCCACGAGGCCTGGCTCCCAGCCCCCCTGCTCTAATCACTAGATGCCATTCCCCTCCCAGAGCCAGGGAGAGAACCCAGGAGTCCTGGCTTCCAGGCCTCCCTGGTCTAACCCACCAGCCTCCACTCTCCTCCCAGAGCCAGGGATAGAACTCAGGCGTCCTGGATCCCAGCCCCCCTGCTCTAACCCACCAGTCCCTGACTCCCCTCCCAGAGCCAGGGAGAGAACCCAGGAGTCCTGGCTCCCAGTCCCCCCCTGCTCTAACCCACCAGTCCCCGACTCCCCTCCCAGAGCCAGGGAGAGAACCCAGGAGTCCTGCCTCCCAGTCCCCCCCTGCTCTAACCCTTAGGCCCCACGCCCCTCCCAGCCACTGCAGTGGGTCAGGGAGTCCAGTTCTGTGGCTGGATTTAATAAAGGAGTTGGGTGATTTTGTGACCGTTAATAACATTTGTTAGCATGGCAACCAGGCTAATGATGGAGGCAGGGTAATCAGATGTCCTGCCGTAGGGGGAAGTCGGTTACCCACTCTGGGGTGGGGGGCAGGGAGCTAGGACTCCTGGGTTCTATGCTGGCTTGGGGAGGGGAGCGGGGTCTAGTAGGTTAGAGCAGGGGAGGGCTGGGAGGCAGGACACCTGGGTTCATTCCCCAGCTCTGGGAGTGGGGTGGGGTCTAGTGGTTAGAGCTAAGGAGAAGTGAGGAGGCTTGTTTCACCTCCATGTTCACGGTAAGTCCCTTGGTGAAGGAATTCATGGAACCGCCGCCACTTCCTTTTCTAGCTTAAAACCCTCAGTAACTCCGAGCTCTCCCCGGGCGTGTTTGTTACACCGAGCCCGGCTGCAGAGCTGGGACCCTGAGACCCAAAACAGACCCCCAGCCACAGCACTGGGAACTGGGAGGGGAGTGGGGTCTAGTGGTTACAGCAGGCGGG